CCTTCCAAGAATCCCCCCCCCCTTCCCAAAAAAAACAACAGGAGACATCCCCAACTCGAATTGATCGCACCTGTCACGTTTGCGAGCTGGCGGCACACCTCTGTGGTCAGGTCCTTGTGCGACAGCTCCCGCACCTCCACCCCCGCCCCGCGCGCGTCACGCGCCGCGTTGCGGATCGTGCGGGTCTTCTTGCTGTAGGCCCACTTCTGGATCAGGATATTTGTCTCCGCCCCCATGTCGTTGACGGCATACCCCTGCTCATCCCGCAGCAGCCGCGAGAACTCCGGCCCCGTGTGCGCGTACGTCGCGTGCGGGAACGCGCGCTTGAACGCGGCGGCCATCTCGCTCCAGTGCGCGGGGTGCGCCAGCGGGTCGCCGATGCCGATGACGATGGTGCGCCAGTAGGCGCGGCCGACGACGTAGGGCTGGCTGCCCATGCCGGGGACCAACATGTGGATGTACTCGGGGTTCCACAGGGTGGAGCTGGAGATGGCGCCCCCGCCATAGTGGCGCGCGTAGGGGCCCACCATGCGCCACGCGTCCGACTTGGCGCCTTCGCGCGAGGGGGGACGGCGGGGCGGGCAGGTGAGGACGGCGGGGCGCGCCGCGGGCGGCGGCGGCGGAGCAAGACGCCGCGCGTGTCGGGGCTGCGCGATACGCAGCCCCGACGACAAGGCGAGGCGCCCCACCCTCTGCTGCCGCCACCGTACGGTGCAGCCTTTGCAGGGGCTCGCAAAGGCCCCCTCCCGGAAGCTGCCGCGCGAAAGGGAGCTGCCGCTTCCGCATGCGAGCCGCAGCCCAACGCGCCCCTCCCGCTCAGGCCGCCGTGCCACCGCCCGGGCAGCCGCCTATTTCCCAGGGTTACTCACCCATCTCTGCATCGACCGGGATGTGCACCACCTCCATGACCCCCGGGATCACCGGCGGCAGCAGCTTTGAAGGGTCGCGGCCGGCCTTGGACCCCTGCTGGTGCTGCTGGTGCTGCGCCGGCCGGCGGGCCGAGGCGAATGGCTGCACCTCGGCGACCGCCTCTGGCGCCAGGTCGGCGGAGCCGTCGTCGTCGGAGTCTATTTGGGCAACAATCACGGGCGTCTGCGCCTCGGTGCCGGGGACGGGCGTGACGCGCGCCACTGTGTGCAGGGGAACCCCCGGGTCTGGCCTGCCCAGCGCGCGGCGCGAGAGCTCGGCCGCGCACGCGACGGTCGCTAAGGACTGCGGCACGGATAGAGAGTGCAATGGGCAGGTTGGGAGGGTGTGAGGCAGCTGCGCGTCCCGGCGCACACGGGCGGGGACGTGCTCATTGACGCCCGTCACTGCGCCGCGTCGCCATCGGCTCGGCGCGGTCGTCGTCGCGTGGGGCGCCGCGGACGGGTGTATAATCATTGCTACGATGAAAAATGCACTGGCGCTCACCGACAAGACGATGTTGATGGCCACGCCTGCACCGGCTCCGATGGCCCACTGGGCAAGGGCCGGCAGCTCATTGTCCTTCGGCATGGCTGCTGACAACCCGATAGCGCCCTATAAAACCACAAATTTCGATACAGGCCTTTTTTATGACGTGGTCTCGAGGCACTCTGCCAGCTTGCTGGGTCGGTGCTGCTACCAGCCCCGCCACCTGGGGCTTGCAAGCGCCCGTGACAGGAAGCAACAATTTCTAGGAATTCGCTATAACCCTATAGTGCGAACGCGTGGACAGACCGCGTGCAAGGGTCTCCACGCACTGATAGCGCTTGTGAGCCGAGGATGCAAACGAGGCGGTGACACTATGCATCAGTGGTCGCGAGGGATCTCTAAGCATATCTGAACCATGATTATGGCGTGATGAACCCCTCTTCAATGCTGGTCGGACGATGGTACGCGGAGTCACTGCGGGCTGGGCTGGTCAGAAGCGAACGGTGGTCGCCGCGAAGAAGGCGTCTGGCACTCACCAAGAACCTCGCTTGGCCTGGAGTACGCCTGATTCTTACTCATATAGCCGGCAATCAAAGATGCTCGCGCACGCTGCACAACTGTTCCAACCGATGCCTCCGATCCCTCTCTGAGTCGGGCGGCACATCACGGACGGCCTGCACTCAATTCCATAGCGTGCACCAGGCTGCCGCGTCAAGCGGTGAGGCGCCTTTCAGCTGCGCATGGGGCCTGCAGTGTCTCAATATGCTCTACTCTGCTAGAACACTCCGGTGCAGAGCCGCGCCAGGTTGCAGGGGGTGGGAGTGCGGTAGTTGCCCGCCCTGGGTGTGCGAGACTTGTTTTCATGGGACCTGCAGGATCGCCCAGCCGTCTGGCATACCGGTTAACACTCCCAGGAAGCATCATTACTCCAATTACAGTTACAGTTGCTATTGGCACGAAAGGTGTGGGGCAGCGGCACCGGCGGGTGCAGCAGCTGTCCCAGGAGCCTGCCCTGTGACGCAAAATGTTGCCAAGTGCTCGCAGGACACACCGCCGCGCCTGCAGCGAAACAACTCCCAGACTTTGACCAATTGATGGATGTGTCGTGGCTTGTGTGGCAAGACCGGGTGATTGATTAAAAGCACAGTTATCACGGCTGCTAGGTTGGCATCATTGCTGGAATCTCTGTTCAGGCGGCGCCCAGGCACGCGTACAAAGGGAGGCGACGATGAATGGTGATAAGCAAGTCACTGCACTCATGCACTGAGCGAGGTGTGTAGCAAGCCTGGTGTACAGGATTCTGCTGCACAACCGCAGCACGCATGCTGCCGTCTGATTTGGCAGCATGATGTTGGCAGGAGACAAGACTTGGGGGCGGCGCGCGGCAAATGCAGCGCAGAGCCGGCAAAAACGGCTACCTATCAGCACAGCCCGCTGGCGCAGCGGACAAGTCAGTGGCACTAGCACAACCACCAAAAGGACCAACAAACCATTTTCGTGGCTGCTGCGCATTGGCGCAGGGGTCTCTCAGCTATACACAACCTTGTTAAAGGAGTGCGGCTCCCGAAGGGCTACTAGGCCCCAAAACAACAACACCAGTGGCTCTTCTTCAAAGCCGGCTGCTTGAGTCTACAAGGTGATGCTTGTCTTGTATATTAGAGCACCTGGTCCTGGGTGGTGCTTTGTGGTGGACACAACCCCGGCTCACCCAAACCGCCGACTATGCGCGGCGACCCCTTCCTGCCGTCCCCTCGACCGGCACAAACACATGCCTCACCCGCCCCCCTTCCGCGCGCAGCTCCGGTGCCATGAGCGGCTCGAGCCTGCGCAGCGCCGCCGGCGGTACCGCGGCATCGGGCTGGACGTCGCAGCGGTACAGCTCGCGGTACAGGTAGGCCAGCATGTTGTTGCCAAACAGGACCCAGCCGCCCTGTCGCGCCGCGCGCGCCGCGCGCGCATGCGCAGCCGCCGCGGGTTCCTCGGTGCATGCGCCGGAATCAGAGCCAGCAGTGGCCACCGCAGCTGGCTTGGAGCTGGCATGTGCGGCGGGCGCAGCGGCCGGCTTGAAGACGCCCTCAGCGCAGCCGCGCTGCCGCCCGCGCCCAGCGGCGTCCTGGACGCGCGGCGGCGCCAGGCAGCCGCAAGCCCCGGCCAGGCGCGCGAACGGGACCCCAAAGGTGCAGCTGGCGGAGCACGCGGCGTCACTCCAGAGCCGTGCAGCGCGACTGCTGCCACTGCTGTTGCTGCTGTTGCTGCTGCTGCTGCTGCTGCTGCCGCCGCCTGAGGCCTCACAGACGACCGAGATGACATTCGGGGTTGGGGGGCGCCACGTGATTACGTAATCGCTGCGCTCGCTTGGCTCCAGGGCAGCCTCGAGGGCGGTGAGGTTGTCTGGGGGAGGGGTGAAGAGGGGGGAGGAGGCGGGTGCGTTGGCGAGCAGTGAGAGCTGTGGGCAATGGACTACATGGGCAGGGTTTGAGAAGGACGGGGGTGCGCAGCGCACCCCCCACCCACCTCCACCGTCCCTTGCGCGCGCGCGCGCGTGTTGGCGTAAGTTTGAGCGACGTACTCCTTTGTGGGTGGAGGGGGTGCCATTGGCAAGCGTGCGGATTACCTGGAAACGACAGTGTCTAGTTGCAGACCAGGAATGCTAGGCTATTTGTGAGGCGCATGCACAGCAGTTTATCTTGACCTGGGCCAGAGACAATCAGGATCACTCTCTCTGTGCGCTTGTGTGGCAGAAATGCTGAGCTGGCGGGGGGCGGCAGTGTCGACTCGGAGCAGTGTCGCGGCCAAGCGCAAGCGATGCTGCTCCGTGCACCGACAGGCAGGTGCAGATAAACCACTCCCGGGTGCGTTGCGTGCGACGCCCTTGCCCCCGCCGGGTGTTGACCGGTTCGCCCACGTGTTGCCGGCGCACCTGCAGCAAAGAACAGGCGCAGGTCGTACTTCTCTGTGTTGATGGTCTTGTAGGTGCGCATCCCCAGCACAACCTGCCGCTCTGCAGCCCTCATCCTCTTGCCCAGGTGCCTGCGGGGCGCCGGCGGCGGAGTAGCAGGTGCACATGTACATGAGCTGTGCTGGACATCGGCCCATGATTCATGTGCATCGCCAGCAAGCATCGCAGCATCTTATTGGCAGGCGAGGACCAAACTACCAGCCTCGCACAGCAGTAAACAGCACTGCCGAGCGAGGCCCCGGCCTCCTGCAACAAAACCACTTTATCGCAGCAGACTCGCCTACCTGAGGGCCCATGCGACAGCCCCGACCTTCCTCTCCGCCGCGCGCATGTGGCGTCGCCACAGCCGCTCGTTGTACTGCTGCCTGGGGTCCATGCCGCGCGGGCGGCGCCAAGCCAGGGTGAAGGGGCGGGGGTGCGCCAGGCACCACAGCACTAGTGAATTGGGATGCGTGGGAGGGCGGAGCACACGCCAGGTGTTGGCGTTTTGTTGTATGCAGCAGGCGGGGCACGAGAATGCTGAGGTCATACGTGGCCGCCAGGTCAGCGCTGAGGGACCCCCTGAGGCAGAGGCTATCCGCCGACTGCCCCGCACGCACGTCGCGGGAACCGGGCAGCCGGCGCCGCGCGTGTATTTACCCTCGGCCCCCCCTCCTGTCCGTTTTGATTTTGCTTACCTCCCTGGTTGAACATCGCGCTGGCGGTTAGGGGGTAGATGCAGCTCGTGGACACCTGGACGATCATCAACGGCGGCGCGCCGCGCGCCCCACCCGCGTCGACGGCGGCCTCGCTCCCCTCGCCGGCCGCCCCGCCGCCGCGCGGGGGGCGCGCGGCAATGCAGGGGCGCGCGGCTGGGGTGCCGGCTGCGGCCGCGGCGGCGATGATGGCGTGTGCGACCACGTCGCCTGAGGGGGGGGGCGATACCCTAGGTTCAGCACTGCTGGCAGACGGGCGCAGACGCTGCTGCGGTCTTTGCGGCAGGCGGGAGGCAGGAGACAGGCGGGCTTGCTTGCTGTGATCGATGGTGTTGCACAAACAGCGTCAAGTAAGGATGAGTCCTATATTGACCCCCATCCTCGAGGCCCTTGCTGGCTCTGTTGCTCCTTCAGCGGCAGCACTTTGCAGCCGGCGCGATGAGGCATGGCCCGCATGCCGACAACCGCAAGCTGTTGGGCATGCTGCTTTTGAAGTCCAGCTGCCCAAACGCAAGCCACACGATGCGGGCCCGCCCGGCAACCCACCCGGCACGACGTCCCATACGCTGGAGCCTCCCACTGCTGCGGCCTCTGGCTGGTCGTCATAAAGGCCCAACAGGTAGGCCGCAGCAGCACCCACCTGCGGGGGTGCGTAAGTTGGGGGCGATTTCGCCGTCGACGCTGGCTGGTCTCGCGGCGCACGCGGCGCGGTCTTCGCTGTCGACGGCTGGGGGCAACTATGTGACAGGCGCAGGTGCGCGCTGCTGGGGCGATTTGCGGCCATCGTGCAAGTCGTGCACTCCTGCGCAAGTCGCAAGCATCGCCGCTTCATGGGAAGGTCAACGCCCACTGTCTTTTGAAGCTTCAGGTTTACCCCTTCCTGCACCGTGCTGCGGGCAGCGCTCCCATCTCGCCACCATGCCACGCAGGCCGGAGCCCCGGCGCCTGCTGGGTTTGGAGCAGCAGCTGATACCGTGCCCACCGAGCGCCCAGCCCCACCTGCCCGGCGTAATTGCCGCAGAACCCGCAGTACGGCTCAACCGCCACCGCCGACACAAGGGACGGCCGCACCACCACCAGCGGCAGCGCCAGGGCCCGCTGCAGGCGGGCGGCCTCCTTCTCCGCCAGGTGCTTGCCCAGGGCGTAGGTGTTCTTGAAGCCCAGGAGGTCTATGAGGGACGCGGCGCGGGCGGCCGCCTGCTCTGGCGGCAGGGCGAGGAGCTCCTGCAGTAGTGTTTTCAAGGAGGAGGGGGGGGGGTTGCGGTTTTGGCTCAAACACAGCAGAGGCGGCTGTTTCAACGGTTGAGACTGGCTCATCGGGGGCTGGCGAGAGAGAGAGAGAGAGAGAGAGAGAGAGAGAGAGAGAGAGAGTGAGAGCAGGTTCACGAGTGAGGGCAGGTTTGCAGGCCATCTCGCGCGCGCGCACGCCTGACGGGGCGGACGCCGGGCAGGGGGCGGAGGCGCACAGCACATGCGGCCGCACGCATTGACCCTGAAGTTTGTGCAAAGCGGCAGCGCGTCAGGGGCTGCGCTCCCACCTCTGCAACGCCCGCGACGTCCACCTCTCTGCCGTCCACCATGACAGGGTACTGCCTGCAGCAGCGCCCGTGGGGGCAGGATGGCAGCTCGTCTGAGCCCACGTGCGCGTGTCAGCTCGAGAGCGCATCCCCCCTGCTGCCGATCAACGGGCAGCAGCTTCACCTAAGCAGCCCCGCCCGCGCACTCGGGGGCTGGGGAGTACATATGCCCTCCCCGGAGGGCCCCTCCCCTGCCTGCCGTCGGAGTTGCCGCCCCTCCGCGCGCTCGCACCTCTCCTCGACGCGCGTGAGTGGCGGCTGGTTGATGTTGACGTAGGCAGTCGAGATGTAGGCCACGGACCGCAGCCGCGGCATGCGGGCCGCAAGCTCGAGCACCTTTTGTGTGCCGAGGTAGTTGGCCGCCAGGGTCTGCTGGATGGGGGCGTCAAGGCGGATGTCTGCAGGAAAGTGAGGGTGGGGTGTGAAGGGAGGGGGTGTGAGG